TACAAGCCAAACTGTAATTACCCAAATCAGAACGGCACACTTTTGCTAATAGTGACATTTTGCAAACATTCACCTAAACGTCAGTTTTGGGGAGCCATAGGAATCACCTCAAAAACTGGAAATGAGAGAATGATTTCCTTTTAAAAATTAAAAGGTAAGACTCAGCTTCCCCCAGTCCCACTAAGTTCATGCCCAGATTTCTTCTTCCTTTTTTAAAAAGAAATTTTATTTATTTACTTGACAGAGAGAGAGCACAAGCAGGGGAGTGGCAGAGGGAGAGGGAGAAGCAGGCTTCCCGCTGAGCAGGGAGCCCGAACACAAGGGGCTCGATCCCAGGACCCTGGGATCATGACCTGAGCTGAAGGCAGATGCTTAACCGACTGAGCCAGCCAGGCGCCCCTGCCCAGATTTCTTCTAAATGGACTAAGAGGCCTCTTGGTGAATTTACCACTAGAATCCGGATGTGATCCTGAGCCTTGAGATTCAAAGACCTAATTTATATCAGTACACTAATAACGGACACATTTCTCAGAGCAGACACTCAATAACTCCTGAGTCTGGAGCTTGAAGACAGAATGCTAATTTACCAATGTACTATTATTTCTCAGGATCTAAAATCCTCAAGTGAGTTTAGCATATTCTCTCTTAGCATGATAAGGAAGAAAAGAAGACACCTTTTAAAAATATTCAAATTTGGGCGCCTGGGTGGCTCAGTTGGTTAAGCGACTGCCTTCGGCTCAGGTCATGATCCTGGAGTCCCTGGATCGAGTCCCGCACCGGGCTTCCTGCTCGGCAGGGAGTCTGCTTCTCCCTCTGACCCTCCCTACTCTCATGTGCTCTCTCTCATTCTCTCTCTCTCAAATGAATAAATAAAATCTTAAAAAAAAAATAAAAAATAAAAAATAAATAAAAATATTCAAATTTATGTTTAGATTTGTTCATCCAAACTCTTAAAGCTACGTAGCTGTATACATTCCTCATTTTCTCTTTTCTGAAAATGCTCTTCAAAATCTAGTGCCTGAAATAAAGTTATTGGTGAGTCACATGTTAATAGACACGAGTCATTAACAAATGTAGTCATTTTGCGAACGAGAAGAGACGCTACCTTTAGGCCGGTTTTAAAAGGTTTCTCCTTGGTTCCATCACCTGTAGCATCATTTCCCTCTCGATCGGAGACATAGAGCTCTGCTGTTTTTCAAAAGCAGAGTAAGTTACTCATTTGGCCAGTAATTATTAGTCACTTCATACCGCAACTATTTTATCCATTCTTTATTTTTGTAAACAGAACTAGCCATCTGATTAGTAAAAATTACCACAGTCCAAAAGAAATTATATCATGATTACTTTCCCACGCCTATTTCAGTGACATCTATCACATAAAAACATACTAGTTACAAATCTGGCTTTTCAAAATGCACTTTGATGATTTTAATTTGTGATACTGCTTCCGGCTACTTGATAAAGGCTTTGAAGGTGGCCAGACCAGACTGGAATCTTGGATGTTGTACCTTAAAAAGCCTGGGTGACCCTCAAGAATTCACTTAACCTTTCTGAGCTTATTTGTCTACGAAGTGAGGGGAAAAAAACAATACCCATCCTGAATGGCTGTACTGAGGACGAAATAAAGTCACACATACAAATCAGATATCCCAGTGAGAGTGCACCGATGTCAAACAAATACCAGTTCCTTCTGATCTTTAAAGGAAATGAAGCTCTGAGCTTAACGAATTGCAGAAGGCCTTACAACTCATTAAGGGTGAACACTGACATCAATCCTGGTCCCTTTTCCCCTTTTTCTATTGCACCATACGGCCTCCCTGGAAATCTCAATATAAATGAGGATGTGTGAAAGCGAATATGAATTCACGAGTCCTTTCCGGACGATCACTCTGAAGAGCTTACATATTTGGGGGCTACTCTGACGTCTCATAGTGCCTCGCGGGGGCTAAGTCTCAGCTGAATCACCAGATTGTTCGCAGTGGGGCAGCGCGAGGAGCGGCCGCCATCCCAGTCCCCGGAAACAGGGGGCCCCCGGGGGGGAAAAACCCCACCCAGCGAGTCGGGGCCCAGCTGGGGTCCAGGCCCCTCCCCCCGCTCCTAGCTTTTACGTGCAGAGCTGGACCGCCCACTGGAAGCCAGGCCACCGGCCGCAGCTCGGTTCCTGCCCCACGTAGGGGCACCGCCACACGTACACAGCCCGGGTCTCCGGGCTTCACTCACCTAGTACCATCCCCGCGGTCGGCCCGGTCACCTCCAAGGACATCGTCTCCAAGACTCTGCCGCCCTGTCACCCCAACGTGCACCGGCGGCTTCCTCGACTAGGACGTTGCATCAGAACTTCATGCATAGGTCGCTCCAGTGAGTCACCCAAGCGTCGCGTAGCCATTGGTTACAGGAGGATTACGGCAAGTGGGCGGGTGTCACTGCTGCAGCCATCTTTGAGCCGGACAGAGGCGACTTCCGGGTCCGCCGCCCCGCCCCCACGCGCTCGGGCTTCCCCGGGCCGGGCTCCCCGGGACTCGTGGCCGCCTAGACCCGGAAGCGGCTGCGGTCTTCTCTGCTCTCGGGCCTCACCTCCCTACTTTCCCTGCTGAGTCTCCAATTCCGCCCCCAGCTGTAGGTGCGCCGGGGCCCTTTTGGAATCGAGACCAAAAATTTCGTTCCTTATCCCCAAATGTTGGAATGCTTGTGGAATTAATGTCATCATCAAATGTATTGAGCACCAGCCACGGGGGTGGGGGAAGGGTTAGGGGCATAAGAATAGTCCTATCTCATGTGCATTGCCTGTTGTGAAATATCAAGGCCATTTAACTTTGTAACTTAAATGGATGAGGAGCAGTACTTCTGTATTTATGATTTGGATTATTGGTATTTTTATTTAAAGTTACAATGATCGCGGGCGCCTGGGTGGCTCAGTTGGTTAAGCGACTGCCTTCGGCTCAGGTCATGATCCTGGAGTCCTGGGATCGAGTCCCGCATCGGGCTCCCTGCTCAGCGGGGAGTCTGCTTCTCCCTCTGCCCCTTCCCCCTCTCATGTACTCTCTCTCATTCTCGCTCTCTCAAATAAATAAATCTTTAAAAAAATAAAAAATAAAAAAAAATAAAGTTACAATGATCGCTGTTAGGGAGGCCATAATAATGTGGAAAGAACCAGGGCTTCAAACCCGGTCGGAATTCTGGTTCCACCTTTTACTAACTGTGCTTTGGGATAGATTACTTAACCTAAGCTTCAATTTCCCTATTTATGAAGGATGATGTAAATTCACTGTCCAGCACATGATAGATACTAAATAAAGGGTAGCTAACATTATCATTCTCTGTTGAGTGGAATACCAGAGTTTGTCCTTGAGTCAAAGGAAAACTTATATGTGTTATGAAAGAAACTAAAAATAACTCCATACATAGGTTCAGACTCTGGAGAATATGAACCAAATACTTTCTTCCAGAGTATTTCACCCAATTTGATGGACTTCCCTTTTTTCCTCTTTGCTAACTTTTTGTGTTTTCTCACACACATAATCGTTAACTGTTGCTGCAAAGCAAATTACCCCAAACTTTGGAGCTTAAGACAATGAACATTCATTACTTCAGTTTCTGAAAGTGAGGAATCCAGGGGTGGCTTTGCTGGGGATTCGGTCTCAGGGTCTCCTGAATCAAGCTGGGGGCAGGGGCTACCGTCTTCTGAACCTTGACTAGGTGAGGATCTGCTACCAGGCTCACTCATAGGGCTGGCAGAAGGCCTAGGTTCTTTGTGGGGTGGGCTCCCCATAGCGCTTCTAATGATGGGATAGCTGACATCTCCCAAAGCAAGTGATCAGAGAGAAAGAAAGCTGTATTAGTTAACCTATTGTATAATAAATGACCCCCAAACTTCAAGCAACATTTGGCTTCTCGTGTTGTCTGTGGACCAGGAATCTGGGGACTCTGGCTCTGGGTCTCTCAAAAGGCTGCTATCCAGGTGTCAGCTGGGACTGCAGGCATCATACTTTTAAGATTCTTAAGTGTCACCGGGATAGATCCTCTATCACGCTCACTCAGCTGAGTGTTGGCCTCAGTTCTTTGCCACGTGGGCCTCTCCATCAGGCAGCTAGCTTCATCAGAGCAAGCAAACAAGATGGAGGCCACAGTCATTTGTAGCCTACTCTCAGAAGTGACATCCCTAACTTTCACCATATTCTGCTTATTTGAATCCCGTCACCTGGTCCAGCCTACACGCAAAGAAAGGGTTTTACACCAGGGCATGACTATTAGGAGGTGAGGTCGAGGTGGCCAGCTTAGAAAGCTGCCTTCCACTTCGACCAACACCCAAGATGCAGTTCCTCTTGTAACCCGATTAGTGAGGTGACATTTCATCATTTATACTTATTCTATTGGTCACACAGACCAACCATAGTACAACACGGGAGAGGGCTACACAAGGGGGTGAATACCAGGTGGTGGAGCTCAGTGGGAACCATCTTAGGGGTTCCCTGCCACAGGCCAGCTGGATGAATTTCTCCTCTTCACCCTGCCCTGGGCTCCCAGAGGCTGACTAATGGGGACCGCATCAACGTGCTGTCTTCTGGTCAGATACAGCTAGCGGGGAGCACAGGCAGGAGAGCAAGAGGGAGGATAGTAAGATTGGGGTATTTATTTGCCCAGCTCCTTTGCTGCAAGCTGGCTGCATGTGGCTCCAGTTAGCTGGCACTAAGAAACTGTCATTGGACTGCCCTTCATGCACTAAGTGTTTGGCCGACAGTCTCATTTAGTCCAACCTCCCTCCAGAAGCAGAGCTTTCCTTGCAGTATCACCGAAAGGGTCACTTCCAAGAACAAACCGGATGAGTGAAATGAAATGAAAATGAATGGCATTGCTCTTCTGTCTCCTCATCCGACTCTGGCCAGGTGGGGGCGCCCCCTTCTCGTGGTCCTCGACTGTCCGTGTCTGCGCCACTCAGGGATGTCCCAGTCTGGGTTGACACCCATCTCTCTCCAGGCACCAGATGCGAGTCGCTATCCTAAGGGTGTCATGGCCCTCATGGGCCACCGTAGCCGACTGCTTGTTTGAGCTCAGGGCGCGCGACGCCGGCGGCGCCATGTTGTCTCCGGCCATTTCTGCCTCTCGCGCACCTGGTCCTGCCTCGCGGCTCCACCCATCACCTCGAGGTGTGGGAGGAAGCTCTCGGCCTCGCTGCTGTCGCGGGACCGCTGCTTTTCGGGCACCATTTCGGAGCAAACCCGCAAGTGTCTGTAGTGTTCTCTCGTGCACCTAGCGATTTGCTCCTCAAAAGAGTCTCCGGAGAGAGAAGAGGCAAACATCACTGTAAGCACCCCTGAGGCTCCTTTACTGATCCCCAGGCGGGGAACGGGGGCAGGGTGGGGGGAGGGGAGGGGGGCAGGGAGGGGAGGGGGGCAGGGTGGGGGGAGGGGAGGCCCAGGGTTCTGCTAATTAGCGAGTCGTCCAGCAATCCAAAATTCTCAGTCCTGTTTAAAACCGGCTTGAAACTGCAAACAAAAAGTGGGAGTTACTACGATGAAATTCTTCAGTTTAAGGAATCGTCAACGTAACTTTCCTTTTCATTGTAAAGTTTAAGCACTTAGGTTTGCTCGTTAGTTTATTTCAGTGATTTCCAGCTCCTTCATGTTTGTGAACTGCTCGTTTAAAAGCACCTAATCTATACTCTCTCCCTTAAAAAAGAAAAAAGTGAAGTCATTATAAAGTCCTGCTAGATGCTTCCCTGTAAGGAGGTGAATAATGACAACTCTGCTGGGGCTCTAAAGCCAGCTACGTACATAGGATACCAGACTCTTCAGTTCTGCTTCTCTGACCCTGACCAGGTTCCTTCACCTCCATGAGCCACATTTTTCCACTGTAAAATGATAATCTTCTGGAAAGGTTGTGAGGTTGATATGAGATCAAGTATATATGCCTAGTATATACTTGGCATCCAGTAAGCCTTCTGAGTTAGGGTAGAAATGGTATTAATAATCATTGCTAATCTCTTCTTTCATGATTCTACGTGAATCAGATCTTCAAGCCTTGGACCAAACTGCTGAGGGTTGTTGGTAGACCTGCCCCATTTCCACCTTCACCCACTCCCTCTTCACTTCCTGAAAGTCTCAGGAATTCGGGATTCAGCATGTCTCAGAATCTGCAGATCCTTCTCACTGCCCCACCTCTCAGCAAATGACCTGGTTCTTGCTTCAAACTGTTAAATAGGAGCTCTCTGCTTGTCCTCCTTTACTTCCGTATTCAACACCTGTGCTTTCCTTCTAGGACAATGCATGTAGTATCCTCTCTCCTGACAGCTCCTCTGGGGTCTCCTGGATCTCCACAGCTCCCCAAGCTAATCTCCATTCCAGCCCAGGAAAACACTTAAAAAATAAACCCAACCATTTCATTTTCCAGTTGGCAACCTTCCATGATTTCCTTTTGCTCTCAGGATCCACCCCAGTGCCCATACAGAATCACCAGGCTGGAATAGCCTTTAAGAAAGGTGAAGACGAGGTGCCTGGGTGGCTCAGTCGTTAAGCGTCTGCCTTCGGCTCAGGTCATGATCCCAGGGTCCTGGGATCGAGCCCCGCATCGGGCTCCCTGCTCCGCGGGATGCCTGCTTCTCCCTCTCCCACTCCCCCTGCTTGTATTCCCTCTCTCGCTGTCTCTCTCTCTCTGTCAAACAAATAAATAAAATCTTTAAAAAAAAAAAAGGTGAAGACAGTAAAATGGAGAAGAAGCTGGGTACACAAGCAGAATTGTGTTCTCTGAAAGCAATGAGGAAGAACTAATCTCTAGGTTAGTTTGAAGAACAATCACTCTGTCCATTTGGCAGGAGCTGGGGCCCTAGTGAGTCTCCATGGAGTCTCAGGCCCAGCTGATGATTTCTTAGTTTATCAGGGTTTTTGTTTTGTTTTGTTTTGTTTTTTTCTGTAGGAGCAGGTCGTAAAAGTATTTTCACGCCAAGCTACAAAATCCTGAGAAATATCCCAAGTCTTACACAAATCCAGTCAATTTAAAAAAAGCTCTTCTGGGTCCACATTTATTCAAGATGTTTGCTGTGATGAAGTCTTGATGCAAGTTTTTCAGAAACTTGAACCAAAATTCTCCCTTTAAAAATAGTCCATTGTGGGGGCACCTGGGTGGCTCAGATGGTTGAGCGTCTGCCTTCGGCTCAGGTCATGATCCCAGGGTCCTGGGATCGAGCCCCACATTGGGCTCCTGGCTCGGCGGGGAGTCTGCTTCTCCCTCTTCCTCTGCTTCTCCCACTGCTCATGCTCTCTCTCTATATATATCTCTGTGTCTCAAATGAATAAATAAAATCTTAAAAAAAAAATAGTCCATTGTGTTACCTTTATTAAACTCTCCAATAAGCATAAATTTCTGTGTTGATCACATAGAATTTATTTATTTTTTTTTAGCAGTTGAGATTTTTTTTAAGATTTTATTAATTTATTTGACAGAGAGATACAGCGAGAGAGGGAACACAAGCAGGGGAAGTGGAAGAGGGAGCAGCAGGCTTCCCACTGAGCAGGGAGCCCGATGCGGGGCTCGATCCCAGGACCCTGGGATCATGACCTGAGCCAAAGGCAGACGCTTAACGACTGAGCCACCCAGGCGCCCCTGATCACATAGAATTTAAATAAGGAAGCTGAAGATACGTGGGAGTCCCAAAGCTAATGGTAACTGGAATCCTCCTACAGGATTTCCATAGATTGGCTTATTCATTACACAGTTTAGCTAAGCAGAACCATTTTATAATGAAACTGCAAGATGATTCCCAGTCAGCAAATCGACCTGAGACAGAGCAGGGACTCCCGTGTGGCCTCTTGTCAATTTCTATGGTGTAGAGAGCACAAGAGCCTGATTCAGTATCCTAATTCTTTGGGGACCACAAAAGGACCCCAGGGATCTTTCACCTGCTCTGGGAGAGGGTCTAGGACCCATTGGGGCAGCTGGACACAATCCCTTCGTGGCTGCTTCAACGTCCCTGGGCTAGTAAGTCTGCCTCCAGTGTCCTGGGGTTCCCACTACTCTTATTCAGTCAGTGCTTTTCCCTCTTCCCTTCCTTCCCAATTTCCTTCCCTTCTCCTTTAACCTCCCTCTTCTTTTCCAGGCTCCTTCCCCTCCTCATACTCTGTGGGGGCCCCTACCAGACAGCTACAGCTTAGCTCCTCTCAGCCTGTGAGAGCTTGCTCTCTCTGGCCTGTAACTAACCAGCAGAGGTGGGAGAGGCCTGCCTCACACCGTGTAGACCTTGGTCAAACTGTTGCCGCCTGATGGGGACTAGTGACCATGGTGGAGGTATACTTATGATAGCCATAGGAAACTTTATGTTTTCTCTTTATCCTTCTCTTATTCCCTGGTTCTGAGTTGCCTGAATAGACACCCAAGAAAAAGGGTTGAAATGGACACACACACACACACACACACACACACACACACACACCCCGGCCTAATCCACCCTGATGGGCAGTAGGTAGACTGCCTCCCTCCATCGGCCCCTGTTTGGTTACTTTCTTCTCTCTCTCCAGTTCCTTCTTTCAGCTCTCTCCTCCCCCCACTGCCCCTTTCAACCTGGAGACTCCCTGTCTTGTTACCCTCTTTAAAGTTGCTGGGTGCTTCTCAATCCTTTGTCCCCATCTGTGGGGAGAGGAGCAGGGTGGGCTTTTTTGTTGCCTCTCCAGTCAAGAATTTGTCACCAGGTTAGATCTCATTGTCCTGTGAAGACCCCCTAAATAGTACATGGGCACAAGCTCTCTCTGACCCTAAAATCTCTGTTTTCTCTCTTTCTGCCTGTCTGGTTAGCCACCTTATTAATTATTTTTCAGCCCAAAGGAAGTTCGGGTTGAGATTGAGCAGGACATGGACTTGGTGTGAGATTGAGGAAATTGAGGAGATTGCTGGGACACACATTTCAGAACTGCTGGATCCCCTCCATTCTCTGTACTTGCTTGTCTCTCTCCTATGCACAGCCTTTATTCCCATAGTAACCAGGACTGGGCATGTATCTGTAAGATGCTGGATCCTGGAAGCCCCACCCAGCTTACTTCTTTGATAGTAGCACACCAGATTTATTTGTAAATATGGGAAATGCTCAGAGGATTCCAAAAGACTTCCTCTTCCTCTTGGGTTGCATTCTTAATAATTGGACCAATTCTAATTAAATGCCCTGAAAAAAAAAATTCGTTCTCTTTTGTAGCTCGGGTTGGCCCCAGTACACTTTGGGTGATCAAAAGAAATGGCCACCAAATGGGTCCCTTAACTTTAATTCTATTTTACAGTTGCATCTGTTTGGTAAATGGTCTCAAAAGTGGGGAGAGATCCTTTACATACAGGCCTTTACAAAACTGTACCAAGACCCAGGCGGGCAGGACTCCTGGGGTATATGCGTGGCCTCCATCTCTACCCCAACTCCAAAGAATTCAGAGCCAGATTTGCTCATGGATCTTCTCGTCCAGCCACTGCCAAACTGTCTCCATTCAGAATCTCCTTTTCAGGTCCCAGCTGGCTCCCCTCAGCCTCCTTCTCCAACACTCCCTTCAGCCCCTAAACCCCCACTTTACCCTAGTCAGGCTCCTGAAGCACCAGAACCCCCCAAACTGGAGCCCCCAGCACTATCCCCAATGGGATCCCAGCCAGGCTCCAAGCTGGTTCCCTCCTCTACCTCACCACTACGCCAGGGTCTCTTTCCCCTACAGGAGGTGGTTAATGAGAATGGGGCAAGTACTAGAGTACGTGTCCCTTTCTCTGTGAGACACCTAGGGATATGCAAAGAAAGGTTTGGTAGATTTTCAGAAAATCCTGGTAAGTTTAGGGATGAGTTTGTCAGATTAGGGCTGATGTTCTCACTGACCTGGCAGGACGTCAGCGTCCTATTGACCAAACTAGAATGAGGCATTGTATTGCTTGTTTGTCCGAAGGGATTAAAAGGTGTATGATAAAACTTGCAAATGAGGACAAGGTTAGAGAAATTACTCATGGGAAGGATGGGAACCTGGCGGTCTCTGAGCTGGGTAACAGAGACGTTGAGAAAGGATGCTGACCCAGAGCTAGAGCGCGCAGAACGAAGGGTATTGCTGTGTGTTCATTACGCAGTCGGCTCCAAATGTTAGGAGAAAAGTACAAAAGTGGGAGGCTGGCCCTTGGGCTCCACTGTCAAACTTGGTGGAGGAGGCCTTCAAGGTCTATAATAACAGGCAGAGTCTGATAGGGGTACCCCACAGAATGGTTCTTGGTCCCCAAACACCCCATTTCCAGAGCCAGTACATCTCATATGAACCCAGTCCTCCGCATCCCCCCAGCACCCGTTAACCTGACCACCACAA